TTTAGATTCCGTGTAATAATTTTTCCAATAATAATGGATGATATTTTAAATTAAAACTATATTGATTTTATTAGTATATCACATTGTCCCACGTATAACGCGGGTAACTATCTAGTATATATATATATGAGATAGCAAATAATATTTTCCATAATTTTTGCAACAATCCATTTTTCCCCTTTGAAGTTAGAGCAAAAATCCAATACGTAAAAGATTGAAGTAACTTAATTAAAAAAACAAACCATAATACTAAGATTTTAAAAATTAATATTTTTTGGAATCTCGTTTCCTCTACATTTCAAGATTACTAGGTGTTACCCGCGCCCTGCGCGGGCTAGTAATTAATCAATGTGATAATCTAATAGTTTATATAAATAACGTGAATAAACCAATATAAAAGGCTAATAATAATATGAAACCAAGCAAAGTAAATAACATTCACATAATAAATTAATAAGTGAACAATACATCTGTTTTTCTCATGAAATCGTCTTTATGATAGATTTGGGTTGTTGACTACCGGTTGATTATGAGGTTTTCGATTTTGGTTATAAAATTATGAGTCATAAAAATTTGATAATAGCAAGTATCAAAACACACCAATTACTTTTAAAAATGTAACCCTTTTAATATTGCTTTGTTTTCTTTGTTGTTAACCCAGTTGTTTTTTCATTGATCAGGGATCAAAGATCCACGCAACCATACCGAATAGATTAATCGATATATTTAACGGCATGTTTATGGAAATGGAATGGAGAGAAGTCGAAATTTTTAAAGTCATCAATGCTATCGGTGTATCGGATGTTGTTTTTAACAATCACAAAATCGAGATCGTGCGAGAAACCATAGTCAATCCAACTGACTATGTTAATGGGAACCTCTTCTTCTCCTTTGTGAACTATGCCCTGAAACATTATCTAATCGGTAAGATTTAAAATTTATGTTCATTCCCTCTATGAAATGAAGATAATGAACATGATGCTATACAATATCATGGTAGATGTGATTGGACACGTGACTGACTACGGAGAGACTACGGAAATAAATAGCTTCCAACATGGACCAGGATACAAGAAGTTTACATTTGAGATCGAGAACGCCAGGTATGCTAAGTACAAACCCGATTGAATTCATATGTGAATTATGTATATCATTGAAAATGGTAAATAATTGGATGTAATTACATGTATATAGCAAACAACGACTCTCGTGTGTTGCTTGGGGCGAGAAAGCTGTGCAGATGAGCAACATCTTTAGCACACTTGATAGTGATATGATCAATGTATGCATCCTAAGATTCTGGAAGTTGGATATTCACGGAGGTATAAGAATAATCTTAGAGTGTGATATGACCTTATTTAAAATCATGTGTATACCTATTATAACTAATAAATGTTTGCTTATGTTTTTACAGGAACCGAAGTCCACACCTCTGGGGAACGTAGCCAGATGATGATCAATCCAGAGATCGACGAAGTAGATCATTTCTTAGACTGGTAAATATCTATTCCATTCCATTCAATAACTTGAGCAAAACGTTTTAGACAGCACATTAAGCTATTCTTATCAATTCATTAATTTTGTTGTTGAACTATACTAATTCAATATTTACCTAAACTTTGTAGGATGCAGATTTCATACGAAGAATCTCCTTGAAGCTACGCAACCAAACTGTACAACACTAACTAAATATGATCGACTGTACCAAATATCTAAAAACTCCGTTTGAATTTTTTTTTTTTTGTCTTGCTTATAATTCGTGTTCTGTTAGTTGCATGAACAAACATATATATTGTATGTAGTGTATCCTAAGATGCACGACTATTAGTTTGAACATTTAAATATGTAATGGGTTTAATTTCTGCATTTGCTTATGTTTTATTTATGTTCAGGATACCCGCTAACAACTCCAATTGCAATCTAATACAACCTATTGGTGGTTATCCTTATCGTATATATGAAATTAATTGTTACAAATTATAAAATATAATAGATGACTTTACTTTAGGTTCTATGGAAACAAATACCAACACCAAAATCACTTTACTAAAAAATTACTTCACCCATTGTATTTAATTTAACGATAACACCTAAAAGACGATATCATATATACACATGTACAGAACCAAGATAAGAAAATATTATAACTAAAAGAAGTAAATAACCAATAACATTTACATAATCACTGACGGAAAATATTATAGAATCTTGTGAGTTATCAAAATATATCAATAAATAATAGTAAATATTACATAAGCTCAGC